TGCTGTATCAGCTATCGTCACGTCTGGACTTCACCTTCACTTAACATCAGGTGGGGTGGAGTCATTTGTCGGACCTATCTATAAAAAAAAAAAAAAAAAACTGAGTAATTAATGGCTATATTAGTTTTATCTGAATGAATTATCCGCACATAAATGGTATTAAAACACTCGCGCAGTTTATACTATTTAGCAAACGGCTCCCTGAATAAAAAAACACATAATTGTAATTAAATCAATAAAATTAAAAGTTATAAAAAAGTTGGGTAAAATGTTCGATTATTCTGTGGCAATACTAACAAAATGGACGCGTGATTTTCTTTGACAATTATATTACGTAAATTAAATTTAATATTTTAATAAAATGGATTGGAAATGTACAACTTACAGATGAAAGGTGATCCCATCTGATTTCTTCGTAGATCCTGTTGCATTTTTGCAAGTGGGAACGACACACGACGGCATTATTATTTTAAAACTGACAGCTGAAATTACTAGTAAACAGTACGAGCGTCGGCCATTGACTAAATGACAATTTGACGAACCACACCGTTCCGGCGTGGTTTGTATGGTTTCACTTTTGAGCGCATTGACGGTTTCTGGTTTGTTCTGTATTCTGAGTTATATAATATCAGTACAGATCAAGTCAAATATTAATTAGATTAGTATTGAAAGATTCGAAATTAAATATCACTGATCAGATAAAGTCTTCAACTGTAAATAGAGCTCACCATATACTAGCTTTATTACAATGATAGACCTTCAATATACCTTGGAATATTATTTAAATGTTTCAGCAGTGAAGACGCAATGTGAATGTGCTTTTACTTTTATTATTAATATTTTACTCTCATTTATTTCATTTCACAGTTAGGTTTTTTATAAAATAGATATGAAAGTAAAATACAAAAACGTAAATACAAAAATAAATATAGTATAAAAAACCTAACCTAGAAGGCCACCAGCAGCGGAGCTAGGCCCAAGCTACCGGTGGTTAGGGCCGCAGAGAAAGAAACCGCCCCACGATTATTAAAATTATTATTAAGTGTTTATTATTTAGTTCATAGACTTCGAGTCATTGTATCTTTGCCACTCTAACATACAGAGGAATAGACATCTTCACGTTCTCCCAGCACGATACATGCTGCTACTTTAGCTGCTAACAAGTCTAAAAGTAGAAAACTGAATAGAGCTTATGAAGAAGACTGTTTATTAGACAAGTGCAACATTATATAGAGGTGTATCCAAAAATCACTCACGACTTTTTTACTCACTCTCTTTACAGACTGATTTCAATCTTGTCATAATTTAGTAGATTTTTGAATTATCTATCTAGAGCTAAATAATAGTATATGTTTTATACTTAAATCAAGTGTTACTAATATTATTTTCAATAATACCTAATAGTCAGTCAGTCATAGGTATATCCTTAATTATTATAAAAAGTACAGAAATAATTAAACAACTAAATAACTATTGGACACAATTTGGACAAACAAAGAGAGCAAAACGTTACTTCGTGTTATTTTTTCTTATTGGAAAGCTACCTACTGATATTTTACAAAATTTTAATATCTTTTTGCAAAAGTAGCTTTACTATAATTGGGTCAATAAAACCCAATTATAGTAAAGCTACTTTCTATAAGTTTGTATGTTCGATTGTAGTAATTTAAATTACAGAATACATTTTTAATAGTGAGGTGACAATTGAATCAATATGGTTTTCGTTCTGAAGACACTTCTTTGGATATGTATATATTTTTATAGATATATCCATAGATGAATGATTAGTCTCGCTTCACTCGACTAGATACCGCGCTGTCAAAAAACAACAGCTCCTTAAATGCGGCAACTCATTATTGTAGTGTGTGTATGTCAATTTGCAATGGTGCTATGAAATGTCATAAATCATGTAGCCAGCTGCTCAACTGCTACCCAAGTAATAGGGAAAATATTGTAGGTTACAATTAATATGTACCAGGTTATAAATGTAGCTCATAAAATACTTGAAAAATATGCACTTAATTAAATGCGAATATATCAATATTTTAGTATACGTATACGATTAGGCGTAGATTTCATCTTCAAAAAATGCTTAGTCCTCAAAACATTTTTTTACATGTAATATTTCATGTAATAGAGTGAAGCGAGACCAATCATTCATCTATGGATATATCGTGTAGATTTTCAAACACAAGAAGGGTAAATCCTGAGATGAAATATATAAAAGTAATACCTACCTAAAATATAACAATAGAAATAAAATAAAGATTAGTGAGACTTTTTGTATAAAACCCCAAGTAGAAATCACAATCATATTATCGTCATTCAGAACAGTAAACGAATACAATACTTCCCAAAAGTACTCCGCTCGTTGAAGGAATTTCGCAATTCGGTCCTTTAAACGTAGCAGCTGTCGGAAGCCAAAGTAACATGGGCAAGCAAGCGTTCATTTTTATAGCTATTGACCATGCCTCGAACTAAGCAATTAACTTAAGTTCAAATAAGTTATTTATATTAAAAGATCATTTTTATAAAAAAACTTTTTATATTTATGCTCTCAAAAGAATATCAGTTTATTCATATTTTCCCAAAATACCCTTTCATTTGATTGCCGTATCTTGGGAATGCAAAAAAATCAATATCTCAGTTCACTCGGATTCGTTCCTAGTTGGTCATTTTATCTACAGTTTCAATTTTATCATTAAAATGTGAACTAAAGTCTTAAAGCAATTGTGCTAAAATTGCAATAATAACTGTTTTCTTTTACGAAGAAAAGGCGATTTATCCTAAGTCTTGCTTAAACATAAAAAGAGTTTTTTTTTCACTCCGAATATTGGGCATTCTACGATCGATTTTTTATATTTTTTTTTTATAAATATGTCCGACGAATGACTCCTCCCCACCTGATGTTAAGTAACGCTGGAGGCCAGACGCGAAGATAACTTTTACATACAGCAGTGTTTCCTGTCACACCAGCCATCCTCACCTTGCCGGCCTGAATATTGCTTCTTCACGCCTCATTTAAAGGATCCTGGGATGGAGGAGGAGGGAAAGACGCGAGCGGACAAGCATTCCATTTGCGAATAGTGCGACAAAGAAATAAGTACAAATTTTTCTTTGTTCGCTTTTGAATTGTAGACAGTGTAAGCCAGCGCGCGTAGGAAGGGGAAGGTCCCTTCCTACGCGCTTAATCCCTTACCCTCGTTCCCCTTTCCTTCTATAAAACAACTCCATAGCACACTCGCCATGGTATAGATGAAGAAACGCGCTTAATAACGCCACATCGCGGCGTCACTGAAGAGATTCTAAGTCTTTAGTCGCCTATCCTATAGCACGCTATCCTCATCATTGGTGATGAGGATAGCGTGCTGCTGTAACCCCATAATTCTAGACTACTGGACTTGTTTTCTTCCTTTTAGTTCTTATTTAAACTTAATTTTAAAGCATGTGGGTTTTTTCATTTTATAATTTACTAGTTTTTCCATATCAAAGTATTTTCTGTCTGTACGATTTTGCAAATGACGCCCACTTTTCCGCTGTCATGAACACTAGGTTCTGGGAATAAATACGACAAGCATATCCTTACACTTATTATACGGTTCGTTACTTGTACGTCGTAAAAGATTTATATCACCATATTATTATTATGCGGCGACTGGTGCAATAAAAGTGTTTTTGGCAAAGCCAGATTATCCTCGGCCGTGTGGAGTAATAGGTTTCAAGCGAGTCAATTTCACGAATAAAAAATCTCGCTTAATAACTAGTCATAATAAAAACCGAGCCGTGATAAAAACGTAAAGGTGTAATAAGAGTGGCAACATTTTCCATTATTGCAAAACTGATCCTTGGCAGGATTATGAAGAATATAAAAAAGTAATGGCCGCCATTTTGAGGTCGCTACCGACAAATGGCGAAGAAATTTGGACGATGGCTGGTAATGCGGACCGATTATTGCCCATTATATTACTTGAACCCTATGCTGCTGCGACTGGCAAATGAAAATAACAGACTTTTCGATTTATCACAAGTTAAAGCTGGAAAGTTCTCATTCATTTTTATTAGTTAGTTATATATGTCGTAGGATGATTACATTAATAGAATTTTCCCGATAATCCTAGTTATTTCGCGAAAACGCTAATAATTAGACAATGACTGCAAATTCAATCTTTCTGTTAATGAATTATATTTTCTTGCGTCAAGGTCACACACAACACTAACCTAATCTAGTGTGAATTCAAGAACCCGAGAAACTTAAGAATATTTATACGAATAATAAGCCAACAATTCTTTACGCAACCTTACTGAGGTGACACGCGTTTTATCTATATATCATCCTCATCATCGTCCAAATCCTATCCTATATATCATATCTTTTTTCAGCGAGTTTGATGAACCATTGTCTAATTGCCCGCGTTAGAATCAAATTTTCGCAAAATCAAATCATTCTACGACATATATAAGTAACCAATATTTATAAACTTGCAAATCATTCCGTATGAATACCTTCGTGCCCGATGGACCATGAAAATATTATTTTATACCTACTTCGCGACTGAATCACATTTATGTATCGTGAAAGTATGATCCGGTTTCCGCGAATCTGTGTGAGTGGGCTCTGTTATCTCTATAGCAGCTACTTATAAATGTGTAACATTTCAATGATAAAGTGTTAGGTATTGTAAATAATAAGGTATTATACTTTGCAATTTATGCTTTCATCAATTTCTTCTTCGCATAATGTGAACTGAAAATAAAATGAATTTATATAATTAATAATTTTATTTTATGCTTATATAAAAAAATATCCATATTTTGTTTGGTCACGCCATGACTTGAGAACGACTTAAATATTTTTATTGGACAGGACCACAGGGCAGGACTACATCTGCCGGGTTTTCTAGTCATGAAATAAAAAATGGAAGTTTATCAATGAACTCAGTAATTTTTAAGATATACTTAACTGGTTTATAGCATTTTCTCTATATCGTTATTTTTTACAGCATTCTCTTCGCGGACATCTGCGGCTTCACATCGCTATCGGACCAGTGCACTGCGGAGGAACTGGTCCGCCTACTCAACGAACTCTTTGCAAGGTGAACATGAAAACTAAACTTTTGAGTATAGTCTTAAAAGAAAGCTACAAAATTTTCTTTGGATGAAATAACGTAAAATTCAAATTGGTGAAAAAAAAATCATCCACAATCAACATAAGATTTGCAATATTATGGGTTGTTTCGTATTCATCCTATGACGTCTCATCCTACTCATTATTTTTGTCATTATTTCAATAAAATATATTCAAACAATGTTATAGGTTGAGTTAGAAATACTAGTTTAGCATGAGTCAGAGACGAAGTCAAAGTCGAAAATTCTTTATTTAAAAAAGTATGTGTTTTTAAAATTATTGGTGTGGGCAAAATCTAAGAACCAAAAGTTCTTAACATCGATCGAAGGTACTTAACATCGATTAATTTCCACCAAATATGATCCTTTACAATTCGCAAGGCACTTTTATTATTAATTTATATAGCCTTGTAATTATCGGTAAAAGCCTTTGTTGGTATAAAACGATCAACGTCACTATCGGATTTCAGTGTGTTTGTTTGATGACGGCGATTATATGAATAAAAGGTTTTAACACTCGTGTACGTGTACTGCCAGACTTTGATTTATTTACTCCCTAGATAGAGCGTCACCTTGTAAACACTGCGATAAAAACAGGCCAGGTTTTATACAGGGTGTAAGGAGAACGCTCCTGAAGCCAAAATAAAATGTTTATCATACTATGAAATTTTAAACTAATGGCAGTGGTGATTTTTAGTTGTAGTTTTTAGTGGTAATCCCTTGCTCCGTACTCTACAGGCTGGTCATTTATTTTTATACTAGTATTAACCTACCTCGCATTACGTAGAGTAAACTTAACACATTTTGTTTTACTGGAGTTAAGTTTTAAATTATTTACCTTAAACCAATGAAGGACTTCAGAGAGAGCACAATTTACTTTGTCATAACTGTTGTTGCAGTTATTGATGCCATAAGGTGTCCCAAAAAGCCCAAGAATTCTGCTGCAGTCTTGAGCGATAAAGGACAATGTTAAAATAGGCTAAGAACCAACACCAATGTGGCATTTATGATAATTCTTAGTATATTTTTTTCGATAATTATCAGTATTTAGATTGTGACGGACACTTCCAGTTAATTAGTTAACTCTATGGGTACACCCCTTTATTATATAACTATTTTTTAAGAAGCTTCCACAGTAACAAGCATTCTATGAAAATATCAGGTGCCTATTTCTTTTCAAGGGTTAAAGTCCTGTGATAGACAGACTTGATTCCATATGCCCAAAGGATAAAATTAGAAACTGATAATATGCATCGTTTATCATTCTATGAATCTAACAATTAACACATTATCTATCTATGTAATTAATAAATCTGCGTAGATATACCTGTTACGTATACTGCTAAACTAGAAGGCATGTTTTTTTTTAAGAAAGCCAATGTTATATTTTGCCCAACTTCTGAAACGTAAAGATTCTGCGGTTTCTAAACAAGGGGATTTATCATTTTGTCGATGATAAAGTACTAGCGGGCCTATCGGGCTATCTATCAAAGCACCTCCGAGATATCGGACACGGGATCTCGTAACGAGCCCTGACTGATATATCCAATCCTTACACTAATCATGTGGTATAATAGAAATAAATATATTAAAGTGTCAGCTGCACTTATATTTATAAAAATAAATACGTATTTTTCTGTTGATTGATTACCATATTCCCGACCACGAGCTTTAGATGATACGAAATGTATGTGTACGTTTCTGTTGATTGAATACGTATTTATGATTCTTGATCATGGGCTTCACATAATACGTAGGCATAATAATAATCTTGGCTATTCACTTGAACCAGCCTGACGCGTTGATAGTGTATTTTTTTTTGTTAAATGCTCAATAAATAACAAATAAATCTTTTATGGTTGTACCAAAAAAAATGTGGACACGTTTTTATCCATGTTTAGACAAATTGTATCAATTTTTTGCTAAAAAATTCGTGTTGAACGATAACTTTTTTGTGGTAATAAGATAGAATAGATTCGATTAGAGTTCCATACCATAGTGATAGGAAAAAAATCGGAACCCTGTGTGTCGAACCAGCGCAAGATGCATCGCGCAACTTGCGTCGCGTTGCGCGCCTTCATTACGTTTCATTAGGAATGTTCCGATACAAGTAAATACGAGTAAGTACTCGATTCTGTTGTTTTGATACCAAGTACATCGAATCAATCTAGAGATACTTACTTCCTCGGTCGGTATTGAAACGAATATACTAACTATAGAATCAAACTGAACGATTGTACCTTAAAAATATATGAACGCATGTTGGTGAACAACTCAAGATTAAAAACCCTCTCGCTCGATGCTGGGTTACGTTTCGTACCTGTATTTACTACTTGTACCGGAAGCAACTTTGCACTCTGACGTTTAGATCACGAGGACACGTGACCTAATCAGGACGTGAGGACTTACGCGATCAGGCCACGTGACCTGACGCGAGTTTAACAGTTTTACCCATTACAAAAAAAGTGTAAAGAAGCTTTCACTTCAAAAAAGATTTTTTCAAAGGCGTCTTTGAGTAATCGGTGAACTTTCGGAAAAAATGTTCTTAATCGCGGACTTACTGTTTTTAATTCGTTTAATTAATCGGTTAATATGTAAAATAGCAAATATATTCAATAATATTGTCCTTTCAAAAAAGGTAGTCATATGAGTATTAACGCAAAACTATTTGAGTACTAATTATATTGCTAAAAATTACATCCCGATACTTTGGTGGTATTGAAACATCCCTATCTCAACGATTTTCTACAAATTGTCCACACAACGCGTTGCGCGGCATTCTAGCGCAAGTCGTCGCAAGCATTGAAGTTGCAGGCAGTATTGGAAATTTTACAATAATTAGTCTTACTAAATTTCCTCTAAAGTGTACTTTTAAAAATAGCTTTTTTATTACTGTGTGAGTTTTAATAATATTTTCTGAAAACACGATGAGGTAAATTTTGAATATAGCAAACTACGCAACTTTCACTCAGATCGTTTTATGAGTAAAAGTACTTCCCTGTTTGTACAGTACGTTCTTGGTTTTCATAATATAAATATATAAAAAAATCTAAGTAACATGTTGTACGGTTTTTACTATTGTAAGATATTTATATTATACTTTTATAAACACAATCGAAAAGTTTCTGTTTTCAAAATCAGCCAACTATATTTTCGATAACAAAAAAGATTATATACCAATCTACTTTGCTGAGAAAAAAATATTTCAATTAATTAAACATACAATTTCTGTAAATAATGCGTGTTGCTTAGACATTTTTAATGTGTGTATTTGACAAGTCCGAATACAAAATCTTGATACCTACCTATAATGGGTGTATGAAACCAATATGCTTTTCTGTTGTTTTAATGCTTCACTATATCGCTATTATTTCTTTAATATCCATCTTCACGCTCTACACTGAGACTAGTCAAAACACAGATTGGCTGATTAAATAGATGATTACGACATTATTTATCGGGCGTAAGTAGTGCTGTGTGTTGCGCAGCGTGTGGACGTACACATGTTGTCACTCTGTCGTCTTTTTGCCTGTCTGTGCGTATGTCACGAGTCTCTAGATCGTAAATGGGTCGTAATAAATCACAGAACTGAAATTTTTATATTTTATGTAGAATGGTTGCCCAAAGCCGAATAAACAACCATAATGTACCGTAGCGGTTGTTTTGGTTGAATCCGTATAGTTTCTGCTCGCATAGGATACGATTGTAGCATTATCGCAAATTGTTTAATCCAAAACATAGAAAATGAGTTTGTGTTTTCATTGGAATACTCGATTATGCTTTGACGCTGCACGACAAGCTACATTCACTTATGGATTCGACATCACTTACACTATGACGGCTATGTATACAAAAATGCGCAGTGTACTTTAAATTTCAATTTCAACGTGTTCCACTAAATTTGTAGCATGCACGAAAGAATAACTTAGTTTAATATATTATTTTAAACTTTCATGGTCACTAACATTATAGTAATATAAGTTATTTACGGGATTGTTACCATGTACCTTGTTTTGAGCGAATTTCCGATATTTCGGCACTATTGCAAGCGCCATGATCACGGAATAACTGAAGTTATTGCGGGTAGGCTGTTACAGTGCCGAAATATCGGAAACTCGCTCAAACCAAGGTACATGATAACAATCCCGTAAATAACTTATTTAACTTAGTTTAATATATGAATAACTACAGACACACGGGTAAAGGAATGCTGACTTATTCCATGTTTTGAGTTCTCTCCTACATCAGAATCAGGTAGATAAGCGATACTAATTCAGTGGATCCTCTAATAAATCAGCGGCCCGGTTAACGTCGTGCGCCATATGCGTAACAAGATACACGTTAGCGTAAATAAGACGACAGATTTTAAAGCCGGCCGTAAATCCATTGGGGGTCGGAGGGTACGGGGCGTGGGAATCTCATTACCGATCCGTTTGTATGTCGTAAATTGTTCGGTGCGCTTTATTGCATCATTTTTTTCTAGCTTTTTCTTCGCTGTGTCACTGCCTCGACGCCATATGAAAGCTCGCAGATGGCTAACGCTTGCGCGAAAGAAATGCACTCCCTTTAAAGATGCAGAACCTAATTTGTTCAATTTTTTTTATTATCTGCTCTCTAAGAGGGATTTTGTGTTTTTTATGGGTCCCGGACAACTTTCCTTTTTAGGGTTCCGTACCCAAAGGGTAAAAACGAGAACCTATTTCTAAATCTTCATTCTCCTTCTGTCTATCACCGGGCTGTATCTCATGAACCGTGATTGAAATTTTCACAGATGATATATTTCTGTTGCCACAATAATAAATACTGAATACAGAATATTTAATGGGGCTCCCGTACAACAAATATGATATTTTTGCTGCTTTTTGCTCTACATTAATAACGGCATCAGGTAGCGGCTTGAAATATTCATAAAATATTTAGTTGTAAATTCACTTTAAAAATAAGTAATTAAATTAAAACAATATAAATATTTAATTCCTATACCACAGACGTGATTTCTTTGCCGTTGTTTGCTCAATGTTATAACATATTGTCTAATATATAGTGGTAGGGAACCTTTCGTGCTAGAGTCCGAGTCGCACTTGGCCGGTTTTTTTCATTTAGAAGTTATTATAGAGGTGTTAAAGAGACCTTTCTTTTTAATATCTCTCTCCATAGTGGATTATTGGAATTCGGGTGCTCGTCTGTTGATGTCACCTCTATCTTTTAGAAGACCACAGTAAAATTACACTATCTCACTAGTCATTAGAACTATATATGCTCTAGGCCCACGTGGTGGGCCATTGCTCGTTTTCCATATGCTAGGAAATACCTATGCCCCAGCAGTGGGGTAATTAATAGACTGATCATGGTAAAAAATTATACGTGCTAGGAAATATCAATCGGGATTTCTGAAATAAACTATCTATTTATCTGTTCATGACTGTATTCACGCCAAGGAAAATTTCTTTACACTGGTGTACGTACCTACATATTGTGTATCTAGGACGATGCGGCCCTTATTAAATTCCTTAACACTGCTAGTTAAATGTCAAAGTCTACCGCGTGTAAATAGTAGACGAATTAATCACGGTACTTTGAAGGTGATTTTCAGTAAAGTATTCCGTTATAAAAATAAACAATTTATTTTATTCACTTAAATACTTTTACTAACCTATTATTAACTCTCTATTTTTGACATGCAAACAGAATATTTCAAATTCTATCAGTCTCATGTTTGGCCTTCTAAAGGCCACAGATTCCACGGAACCTAAAAGAGATCTGGAAAATCCTAATATTTAGCTTGCGCTTTATGAACTCTCAAAGAGAGCGTTTTATTAAAAAACTATAAAGTCCGTGGGCTACAATATGCTCCATTCCTTTTCTCTTCATGCTTCCTTAATCTTTCAAAGGCTGTAAACGCGATCGGTGAACCAAGAATGGCGACAGCGCACCAGATGTATACACACATGACTGTACAAATAGTACTTAGTTTCCTTTGAGGAAACCCTTAAACTAGTTTTTACCTCTATGACAAGAACACGAAAAGTGAATAATTTTATTGCTAAAAGAACCCGATTTCTTGCAATGGCATACAATTTTTAGTAGTAAATTAACCGTTAATCTTGTACGGTGACTCGTAAATCTATGGAGCGGCAGACTTTCCACGCAGTGTTACCGTTACCGGCAAGAAATTCAGTTCATTTCTGTCTAAATTGTTTTTGTTGTCCGTTAATTTCGCAGATTTATGAAGGCTGAATAATGGCGTGCTCAAAAACTTGTAAGATATAATTCTGAAATCAGAGGAGATTTTATGCTTTCTTGCATTGTTCCGTTTCTACTTTCAAAATCTTTGAATATTAATGATAATTTGGTAAAATAAATTACAATGCAATACAGATAAATCTCATTTGGAAGTTATAACTTCTTTATGTATATTTTTCATTTGCACAGATTCGACCGTTTGGCAGCAGAACACCACTGCCTACGAATCAAGCTACTGGGCGACTGCTACTACTGTGTCTCTGGCCTTCCAGAAGCACGCGACGACCACGCCAAGTGCTGCGTTGAGATGGGGCTGGACATGATAGATGCGATCGCGTGAGTTTATTATAACTTTCGCCTCATTATCTTCCCAATAGTTTGTGGGAAAAGTAATAATATTATTGGTTAATGCTCCCAACTTGATAAACATAATCATTTGATTAGAAGGATAAACCATAAGAAATGTCTGTTTACTTTTTACTTCAGGTGATTTAAAATGTTATAATTAATAACCTTATAAAAGCGTGTTATCAATTGCTTTTTCTGTTACAATTTAACTACTCTAAATATAAATGTTAAATCATATAACAATGTGACTATATAATGTTCTTTAGGACGTTTATTGAGCCATCTAAGCGAAGATGGCATGAAGTGCTTCAATTCAATTTAGAGTTTGTCTGTAGTATTTACCAGACGGCACTAACTTAGATGAATAATGTCGGACTTTATTGAGAAAAGGCTAAATAGTTTAAAAACTCAAGTGTTAACGCCATTTATCCTTCGAAGAGAGAAGCTGCAATCGGTCCATCATCATCGTCCGTTCATACATTCATTTTCGTACCCATTCGTTACTACATTCACTCATTTTTTATTTATATAGATTCACTCTCCCTCTTTCAATTCGAATTCAAAAAAGACAACGTACGCACTTAATTTTAATAAGATCTGTATTTTACTACGAGGAGCTCGATGGCGCAGGTGGTTAGCGCGTCCGGCTGCGATCGTTGAAGTTATGCAACTTTCGCAGTGGTCGGTCATTGGATGGGTGGCCAAATATTTTCTATCTCGAGTTCCTCCGTGCTTCGGAAGGCACGTTAAGCCGTTGGTCCCGGCTGCATCTGCAGTCGTTAGCACCCGCCAATCCGCACTGGGCCCGCGTGGTGGGTCATGGCCCAATCTCCCTATTCCATCCATAGGGAAGGCCTGTGCCCCAGCAGTGAGGACATTAATAGGCTGATGATGATGTATTTTACTATGAATAATATTATATAATCTGAATATTCGATTTTTATTGAGAAATCCACATTTAGAAGACACTAAGCTATCGAACATTTGGTTCTTCTTCGACGGATCACAATTGGACTTCGCGCCTTCGAGAGAGTATACGAGAGACGGTCTACCCAGAAGACGAGACGAGCTACAGGCTACCTGGAAGACAAGACGAGAGTATTAACGGTCGAGAGAGGACTAACGGTCAGACCTTCTTATCCTGATCCTAATCCATTCCGAGGTGCATTATCTAATATACAACTTTTCTAATTTCTATGAAGTACCAAAATGAGTGACGATGATCGTTTAAAAATGCCAAAATCCCCTCGTAAGAGCGACAGTAGTTCCGATCGCATAGCAGATCTAAAAAGATTGAGGGCTGCTTCAAAGTTACGGTTAACAATGTTTGAAAAGCATTTGAATAAAATTTCCGATAAAATATTGAGCGATAAAGATAAAACCGAATTACAATTACGCATAGAAGATTTTGAAAATTTGCTAAAAAGTTTTAATGTTATTATGCAGATTGAAATAGAAAGCAAGGTAGACGAAATTAATTTGCTTAGTCAGTTAGAGTATCGTGAGCAATTTGAAGAACAATATTTTAGTGTTGTAGCAGCTGCCAAATGTAGGTTGGTGGATGAGGATAGCGAAGCTAGTTCTAAATCTAACACGCAGAGAATGGTTTCTGTTAAGTTACCTGAAATCAAACTTCCGTCTTTTAACGGTTCCTATGATCAGTGGTTGGAATTTAAAAACTCGTACGTTACCATGATACATAAACGTGATGATTTGGATCCTATTCAAAAATTTCACTACCTAAGGTCATCGTTGAGTGGTACCGCCCTACAAGTAATAAGTGCTTTAGAGTTCACTGCTACTAACTATACATAAACGTGATGATTTGGATCCTATTCAAAAATTTCACTACCTAAGGTCATCGTTGAGTGGTACCGCCCTACAAGTAATAAGTGCTTTAGAGTTCACTGCTACTAACTATATTAATGCTTGGGACCTTTTAGTAAAACGGTTCCACAATAATCGTCTTCTTATACATAATCACGTAAAATCACTGTTTACGCTACAATCTATTCAGCCGGAATCGCCTGCTCAGATAAGAAGATTGATAGATACCGTCAATCGTAATTTACGCGCGTTAAAATCTATCGGCGAACCGACCGATACTTGGGACACATTAATAATTTATTTAATTGTCACAAAATTGGATTCATTTACTGAAAGAGATTGGGAAAATCACAAAGTTTCTATCACTTCCGATCTCAGCGGCGATTCAGCACTCAAGTTAGACCACTTGCTATCATTTTTGAAAAATCGAGCTGATATGTTGGATATGGTGAGCCACACTAAAAATGTTCACACGTCAAAGTCACAGCAACATGAAGGGAAATCATTTAATAGTAGTAGCCAACATAAGAAACACTTTGATAAAGCACAACACGTTTATAGCTATGTATCTCCGCGCAATAGTAAGCAGCTAGATAAAACAACTCGCACTTGTGTTATGTGTGAAGAAAAACACGCACTTTACACTTGTATTCGCTTCTTAAATTTGCCGATTCGAGATAGGATTAAATTCGTAGAATCTAAGAACTTATGCTCTAATTGTTTACGTTCTGGTCATTCTGTTTCCGAATGTACGTTCGGTTCGCGTAGACAATGCATTCAGAGACATAACGGGTTACTACATTTAGAAAATAAGGGCGTACTATCCTCTGCGAAGACGCGTTTCGCACTGGAGACGGACAGCAACGTTCCCACTACTTTTACCACACTTCATAGTAATATAGATCTTAATACGCAAGAAATAAGGTGCAAAAATAACTTGCAAGACATGTCGAGTGTCACGAAACAGGTTTTGTTGTCAACAGCCAGTGCTGCCATATCTACCAACTTTTTGGTAGATCTACCAATTTTCACTTCAGTCTACCTATCTACCACCCTAGACCTAAAAACTACCTATTTTTTAATTAGTTTGACATATCACCACTTTGAATTATTTTAATATCGACGAGCGACATTGCGATGTATTGCGTGAGCCATGCAACGATGCGTCAAGCATACATAGAGTCCAGACCATAAACCACAAAAAAAAAGCAACAGTTCGCCATGAGTTCGGCGTTCGCACAATTTCACGCCCATATTTTACTATTCCTACTGTGGCCTGTTCCCGGTTGGTTTGTTGCGGAATCAATGTTGAATCTTTGCTCCTGGTTTATTGTAAAAACTAATTAACTGCATATTAACGGTGCTGATTGCTGTTTGTTCTATGTTGCGAGCATTTATATAAATAATGGATTCTGACAGCAGCGAAAGCGATGCACATAGTTCTAGGTTAGGAACTCCGCCACGAAAACCTAGAAAAAGGCACTATGACCAAAAATATTCGAAATTATGGGAGAAAGACAAAGAATGTGCAGGTTGGCTTTAAGAAATTACTAAGGGTGACGGATATTTTTATTGCAAATCATGTAGGTGTGATCTGAAGTGTTATCTGCATTGCATTACATGCATTTTTAATCTTAAAAAATCTTCTAAATTGAGGTGGTAGATCTACCAATTTTGCATTTTACATTCTACCAACTTCTACCAACATTTGGCACAAAATCTACTAATTTTCTAAAATTCGGGTTGGCAGCACTGTCAACAGCTGTGATAGAAATTGCCGATTCTAATAATCACTATCATTATGCACGCGCACTGCATTGTGGGAGTCAACATTCTTTCATTACAGAAAAACTATGTAAACGATTAAATATTACAGTTTTACAGTCACTGTTCGAATTTGTGGAATTGGTCAATCGATTACCAACTCAAATCAAGTATGCGAAATTAAATTGAGATAGAAATCATGCGAATATAATACACAGGTTAAATGTATAGTTTTACCATGTATCACATCTATATTGTCTACAGCGCATATAGATATAAATATGTTAAATTTACCGGAGAATATATTTCTAGCCGATCCCACCTTCAATGTGCCGTCAGACATCGGTGATGTTCTGATAGGGGCGGATAGGTTTTGGGACTTGTTAGATGGAGAAATATTCGATTACCACAAGGGCCATATTTAAATAGCACTAAATTAGGGTGGTTAATATCTGGCAGTTTCCATGGCAACTCGAGGTACCAGGAAGTCCAGTGTAACTACACTAATGTTAATTTAGATTCGTTAGACATACAATTAAAGCGATTTTGGGAGATTGAGGAAATACCCCAATCAACCAACATACTCTCAATTGATGAGCGTAAATGCGAGGAGATTTTTCGTAACACAACCACACGTGACGAGTACGGTAGGTTTTGTGTACGTCTCCCATTAAAGGAGACAGCTGATTCTCTCGGTGACTCATTAAAAACGGCAGAAATTCGATTTAAAAATTTAGAACGTAAATTAGAACGTTTACCTCATCATAGAAAGCTTTATAATGAACTAGCTGACCCAGCGAACTTCGTACCGCCCTAAAAAAATAGGGGTTGTCCAGCGGACAAAATTGTGAATCTAAACCATTCTCAGATCCCCTTGAACACACACAAAAATTTCATCAAAATCGGTCCAGTCGTTTAAGCGAAGTTCAGTGACATACACACTCACAGAAGAATTATATATATAAAGATTTATGAGGGAATATTTAGACTTGGGTCATATGAGTCGAATCAAAGATTTAAAGTCACCCTATTTCGTGTTTCCCCATTACTGTGTATTTAAAGATATACTACGACTAAACTTAGAGTGGTCTTCGATGGTAGTGCAAAAACTACGTCAGGCAAGTCATTTAATGACATTCAGTATACTGGGCCCATACTGCAAAACGATATTTTCTCAATCTTACTTAGGTTTAGACAGTATAAATATGTAGCTTGTGCAGATTGTGAAAAGTTCTTTAGACAGGTTTTAATACAGCCGGACCAAAGACAATTGCAAATTAATATTTGGCGTGATCATCCATCACATGAATTAGGCTTGTACCAACTTAATACATAGTTACATACGGTACTTCTTCAGCCCCATAGCTCAGTATGCGTTGTCTCAAGGAGTTACCTAG